TCACCTTAGTGCCTTGGCAATCACCTGATCACTTGTTCAGGGTGCCTTGGCAATCACCTGATCACTTGTTTCAGGTTGCCTTGGCAATCACCTGATCACTTGTTCAGGGGGCCTTGGCAATCACCTGATCACTTTGTTCAGGTGCCTTGGCAATCACAGCCTGGAAAGCGGCCCATTGCTTCTTCTCTGCATCCGCCCCCTGAAATACCCACCATGCCATGCCACACCACACCATGCCACACGCACCACACCATGCCAAACCACACCGATGAGGGCATTGAGGGGAAAGGGGCGCAACTTCGTTTGTATCCAATCAAGGAAGGAGGGGTGGCATGGGGGGAGCAGAGGCTAGACGTGGGCGGGTAGGTGGGTGGGTGAGTGATTGGGTGGTTGGGTGGGCGGATGGGTAAGCAGGGATGTGAGGCACAGCGAGAAGGAAGCGGGAGTGCGACTCCTACTGGGGAAGGCAGGGAGCCAAGGGGCGAGAGCGACACAGTCAGGCAGGGGAATGAAAGGCAAGGTCGCAATGCAGATCAAACTCGGCACTGATACTTGAGTCAATATTCAACTCACCGCGCCCACCCCATGCGCAAGCCCACCCATGCCCACTCCATGCCCACGCCATGCCCACTCCATGCCCAGCCCATGCACACGGCCACCCCGTCCCCCACGCCACCCACGTCACAGGACCGCCTCACATCTCAGGACCCGCCTCACATCTCAGGACCGCCTCACATCTCAGGACCGCCTCACATCTCTTGACAGCCCACCTGTCCTCTCTTGACAGCCCACCTGTCCTCATCTTGACAGCTCACATCTCCGAAGCCCTCCAGCTCGCTCGCAGCAATGGGCCCCTCCGCCCTGGTGCGCTCCCGATACTCCCTCATTAGCCGCCGCACCTCCGCCCCCCCGGCCCCCGCCCCAGGCCCCTTTTCCCCTTCACTCCCCCCCTCTCTCCCTGCCTCCTCTCTGTTCTCACCCTCCTCGCCCTCCTCACCCTCCTCTGGCTCCTCCTCCACCACCATCTCCCACTCCTTCCACCCTCCCCTGTCCAGCACCGTCACTCTCCAATCCGCTGCTGACACGTCATTCCCTGCGCCCCCTGCTGACTCAGCATCTGCTGACGCGGAAGGTATCCTCGCTGCTGACGTGTCGGTGCCGGGAGGATGGGACGGGGCAGAAGGAGCAGCGGCAACAGGCGGAGGAGTGTGAGGAGCAGAGGGGGCAGCGGTGGAGGGGGCAGCGGGTGGGGAGGTGGAAGAGGTGGGAGGAGGAGTGCGGGGGCAGGCAGCGCTGTGGCCCGCTCGCCAGTGCTCCTTCTGGTGCGCCCAGGGGCGTTTGGAAGGCGGTGAGCAAGTGTCGGGAGGATAGCGGGAGGGACACAAGGAGCGAACAGGGAAGAGAGGAAGATCAGTGCTCAAAGGTGTGGTGTGGTTTGAGTGAGGGCAGGGAGGTGTGGTGGAAGGGCAGGGAGGTGTGGTGGAAGGGCAGGGAGGTGTGGTGGTTTTAAAGAATTAAGTCAAGCCATCCAACTCCTCACCTCCCAATGGCAACGTGCAGGAATAGGGGAGAACGAATGGTGTGATGCTGTGATGGTTGTGAAGCAGGATGGGGGGAGGCACGACACGGCGGGCGAACCTGGTGGTCCTTGCTGCAGTGCGAACTTGGTGGTCCTTGCTGCAGTACGAACTTGGTGGTCCTTGCTGCAGTACGAACCTGGTGGTCCTTGCTCCAGTACGAACCTGGTGGTCCTTGCTGCAGTAGGCCACCTGCCTGCACCCCCCACAGCGCTTGCTGCCCCTCCACGTGCCACACCACGCGCACATGGGCACTGCGGGTGGAGAGAGGGAGGAAGGGACTTGAGCCACGAGGGGAGATGATGGGGAGGGGAGATGATGGGGAGGGGAGATGATGGGGAGGGCAGATGATGGGGAGGGCAGATGATGGGGAGGGCAGATGATGGGGAGGGCAGATGACCGGGATCATGGCTGAAGGTGAGCGTTGCTGCAGGGTTACTGGCGGGAGATGAGGGGGAGGAGTGACCTTGGTGGGAGAGTGGTGTCCCAGGTGCATCCGGGGGGGCGGGGTGAAGGCGTAGAAGGGGTTGGCGCGCGGCAGCTGGGTGCGCAGTGCACACACACTTTGGGCGGGCGATGATGGTGCATGGTCAGGGCATGGCGCATAGGGGGGGACATGCACGCACACATTCCATGCAAACACACATTCCATGCAAACACACATTCCATGCAAACACACTTTTCATGCAAACACACATTCCATGCAAGCACACATTCCATGCAAGCACACATTTCATGCAAGCACACATTCCATGCAAACACACATTCCATGCAAACACACATTCCATGCAAACACACATTCCATGCAAACACACATTCCATGCAAACACACATTCCATGCAAACACACATTCCATGTGAACACACATGCAGATCACATTCGTATGGAAGCACGCATTCACTTTCACATGTACTTATGACGATAAACCACCGAGACACGTGCAGCACATAAGGCACATAAGGCAGGGCACCGTGAGAACCTAAAGAGGCGTTTCAAAACGACACGCCATCCTCCATGCCGCCATGCTGCCATGCTCCCATGCTACCATGCTGCCATGCTGCCATGCTGCCATGCTGCCATGCTCCCATGCTGCCATGCTGCCATGCTCCCATGCTACCATGCTGCCATGCTGCCATGCTGCCATGCTGCCATGCTCCCATGCTGCCATGCTGCCATGCTCCCATGCTGCCATGCTGCCATGCTGCCATGCTCCCATGCTGACATGCTGTCACGGACACGCTTCCATTCCAACAACAGAAATTCCCTGACTCCCCGTTCCCCCAACTCCACCCGCTCACCTTCGTCTCCTTTCCCTTGCTCTGCCGTCGGCCACCTCTGCCTGCTGCTGCTCCTGGTGGTGGCGGGTGAGGCAGTGCAGGTGGCGGCAGGCGAAGAGGAAGAGCGTGCGGTGGAAGGCAGAGGGCTCGCTGTCCACTGGCGCGTACACCTGCACGGGGGAGAGGGGGGAGCGGTGCGCGCACAAGGAGTGTGAGTGAGATGAGGAGTGTGAGTGAGATGAGGAGTGAGTGAGATGAGGAGTGAGTGAGATGAGGAGTGAGTGAGATGAGGAGTGAGTGAGATGAGGAGTGAGTGAGATGAGTAGTGAGTGAGATGAGGAGTGTGAGTGAGATGAGGAGTGAGTGAGATGAGTAGTGAGTGAGATGAGTAGTGTGAGTGAGATGCTGAGTGTGCGTGAGATGACAACTATGAGTGAGAGCTGTGTGAGTGAGGAGCAGCAAGGTGACCTGCAGCAGGAATCGCAGGGGCTGGGAGCAGAAGTGGCAGAGGAGGGCGTCTGACGGCACGTTGAGCGGGTCCAGGTACGCCTGGTGGAGGGGGGGGATGGGGGCACAGCACAGGACATGCCAGCATAAGATGGACGGCATAAGATGGACAGCATAAGATGGACGGCATGAGATGGACGGCATGAGATGGGCGGCATGAGATGGACGGCATGAGATGGACGGCATGAGATGGACGGCATGAGATGGACGGCATGAGATGGACGGCATGAGATGGACGGCATGAGATGGACGGCATGAGATGGACGGCATGAGATGGACGGCATGAGATGTTGTCAGGATCCATACATGCCTCTCCATACACCATCGCATGCCTCTCCATCTGCCCATCACATGCCATCACATGACTCCACGTTGTATCACATGCCTCCACATGGCAAGGCATCCTTTCGCGTTGGATGGGCTGCAACCGAGAGGCAGGGAAGGCACGGAACGACCACGAGCGCGGACTGGAGCCAACAGGCCGAGCAAGGTGCGACAGGTGCTGCTGGCGCCGAGACACTGGGCATGGGAGCACGCAGATCAGCGCGTACCACCAGCTCAAGCCTGGGATTGGCAGCACACGTGTCTTGGCGCACTCGCATCGTCACAACAGCGCCCTCATCGCATGCCGCCCACCTTTGCCGCCCATTTCTCATCCCATCTCGCTCATCACCCTCGCCTCACTCACCGGCGCGCCCCCGACTTTGCTCGGGAAGCGATGGCGTTCGAGCGACCAGTCGTGCGACGGCTTTTGCACGAACCCTAGCAGCACCACGTCGTCGCCACTGTCGCTCACGTCGTCGTCGTCGTCGCCTGCGACTTCCTCCTCCGCGCGTTCAGCGACTTGGTCATCAATGCCTTCCGCGCGGCTCTCTTCCTCCCCCCTGTCACTGTCCGTCGCTCCCCGCGCCATCGGCGCGCAGCCCTGCGAAGTAAATGTGATCCGACGAGGACGCGCGTGGCTTCACGCTAGGCGCGTTTCTGCTGCAGGAACAGGCTGGCGCAAGAGCACTAGGTTCAGGGACAAGCGAGGGAAGGGGTTAGGGCGCGGCACAACCCACCTCCGGACGAAGCAAATGTGACGATTTATCGGGTTATTATACGAATCGTCACCACAAAGGGCGCGCTATGACATTTGGTCAATCGGTTCTCACGAACGGTGAGGGAAAATCTATCACAGATGGTCTCTCGTCTCCCCACACTGTTAGTAGGGAAAAGATCATACAGGGGCCGAACAGTGCCAGAGAGGTGATCAACCAGGGGCCGAGAGGACCGAAACTTACCAAACCACTGCGCGACGAGGGATTAACAGGGGGTCTTAGTTTATTGCACATAATTATGTTACTAGTGCCATGTACCGGCTCGCATTTTCGCTCGCATGTCGCTTAGCGAGCCGACTCTACCGGGAACTCTAGGACAGCCAGAAAAAAACTAAAACTCATAGGGAACCTGGATGTAATTTCGGGATGGATCAACCCTAAATAAGGGGCCCTCCCTGATATTTAGGGTTGATGCCTCCCAAGTCGCATCCGTTTCCGAATGGGTAATATATTTTTTTCTTATGCATTTCCGATCGGGTAGGTGATATGTATCACCTAGAATATATTATGTTGTTACGTACTTACGATTTCACACCCCGGATATTAATTCCAGAGAAGGCGACGCACACGTCGTAGTAGATGGCGGTCAACACCCTAAAAAAAACAATGAACTTGTTTTAGCAATTTTCTTTTATTCATGGTTCGGCTTGTTCGCCGAGACGTTTGGTCAGCTCCATGTTGAAATCCTACGGTCGAGATTTACCGGCCCTACTTTGAACACCCCTCTGGCACTGTTCGGCCCCAATATGATCTTTTCCCCTGTTAGTGCGTTAGTCACTAGTCGAAACGCCCGCACTAAAGCTGAAATCCTTCCCAGCACTGTCACAGTTGCGATTTCGAGACCACTAGCGCGCTAGTTTTGTTCGTCTTTTTCGTGTAGCACTGTTACAACCGCAGGTGACGAGAAGTGAGAATGGAATGGATGAACTATGAAACAGTTGGGTACAAGTATTAACCCTAATTGGGTTGTACCCCTTATGGGCTACCCCACTACAGCTTACACAAATGTATCAACTATAATGTTCTAACACACCCCCATAGGCAAAGTGGGGGAGAACAAGTGGTCACAAGACCAGTCAAGCAAAGCAAAGCAAAGCAAAGCAAGCTCAGGGTGGATCACAAAGTCACCACACAGTCCAAGCACAAGAGTAAGGCCACAAGGCCAGTTCACATGCAAGGTCATATATATAAAGGTAAAACAAGCAAGTGCAGGTATAGAAAGAAGACAGTACAAACAAGATCAAGAAGTGAGCAAGTGAGGCCAGGTAGGCACAAGACCTAGCACAGTACAGAAGCGCTAATGATCACAAGGCGGAAGGGCCTTGGTGAAGATATCAGCAGTGTTGGCCTCAGAGGCCACGTAGGTGAGGCGGAGCTGACCACGCTGCTGCAGCTCACGAGACAGGAAGTAGCGGAGAGCAATGTGCTTCGTTCTGTGCTCCAGTCTGTGCTCCCGACACAAGGCCAGCATGGCCTTGTTGTCTACGTACAGAACTAGAGGAGAACGAGGCGGATCTCCTAGGTCAGTCAGCAGGTAGGTGAGCCAGCGTAGCTCCTGTGCAGCCATGGCCCCTGCGTAGATCTCAGCCTCACAGCTAGAGTCGAGAACAGAGGAGGAGCGGGTAGACCGCCACGAAACAGAGCCGGAACCAAGGCTGAAGGTGTAACCCTATGACGACCGCTGCGTAGCCTGGTCGTCAGCCCAAGAAGCGTCAGCGTGACCTGTGAGGACTACTCGACGTCGCCCTCCAAGCACTAGCCCCATGCCCGACGTACTGCACACATAGCGCAACACCCTCTTCGCTGCAGCCATGTGCTCTGGTCGGTGTCTCCCAGGAGCAACATAGTGTGCCAAGATGCTAAGAGGGTATGCAAGGTCAGGTCGTGTGCAGGTCATCAGGTACATGAGGCAGCCAACAAGCTCTGGGTACGGGCCACTCGACTCTACGGACTCATCCGAAGGCAGAGCTGAGAGCGAGTGGCGAGTAGACAGAGGAGTGGCCTGAGGCGAGGGGTACGTGAAGCCGAAGCGCTGAAGGACCTGCTGCACCATGTGTGACTGAGTCAGGGTAATGGTGCTCTGTGCTCTGTCCCAAGTGATCTGCAAGCCAAGGTAGCTGCGCAGTTCACCCAGGTCTGTGCACGTGTGTCTCTTCTGCAGCTCGGACTTCACGTGGGTGAGTCTAGCAGTGTCAGCAGTGGCAAAGACCAGGTCGTCGACGTACATGAGGATGTAGAACGGCGGCAAAGAGTTTGTCGGTGCGTAGAAACAGCGACGGGTCGGCTGTAGAAGGAGCAAACCCAAGAGCCGCAAGTGTAGTCCTCAGTGTGTCGTGCCACTCACGGGGCGCCTCGCGGAGACCGTAGACTGGCCGCCGGAGGCTCCACTGGGTACCAGGAGGAAACGACCCAGTGAGTAGGGACAGGCAGTCGGAGAGCCCGGCGGCCGCTTCACCCTGAAGATCCACATCCCACTGACGATGTTCGCCCCAGGTGGGGGAACCTCGTAGACGTAGGTGCTTGTGGACTTCCAGGAAGCCATCTCTGCGTCCATGGCCGACTGCCACTGAGAGGAGTAGGGACCCTCGATCGCCTCAGCGTACGATCGAGGAGTCGGGATGTCTGGTGCATCCGGGTCTCCCTCAGAGGCAATCAGCATGGACACGAGATGGGGCAAAGCAGCCGCAAAGCACTGGAACTCCTCCTGCCTGTCCTCAAGGACGTCCGTGCTAAGAGCACACTCACCCCCGACGGACGGAGGACAGACAGACTCAGACTCAGCAACAAGACTGGCAGCGTAGTCTAGACGACAGCGAGCAACGAAGTCGACAAGCTCAGCAACGAGAGCAGACGCAGCAGCAGACTCAAAGGAAGGGTCAGTGACGACAGTAGCTAGAAGGCGCGTGACCGAAGGACTAGCAGCACGAAGGGAGTCAGACTCCGGGTCAGCAAGAGAAGGAAGAGAGGACTCTGAAGGAGACGGCAACGGGACACGCAGAGGAGCAGTGGAAGGATGCAGTGCCATCTGGTGTGTGCCGGGGACCGCAGGAGGACGCGGACGCGCAGTACGACCACTAGTGCGAGCAGCACGAACAGGTGACGCGGGACGAGACGCAGGCTCACGACGCTCAGCAAGACCTCCAGTAGGACCAGTGTAGGGAGAAGGAGCAGGTAGAGGGGAGGCGGGCGGTAACTGTGACTGCGACTGGACAGGCGGTGGACACTCTAGGGGAGGAGCAGGACAAGTAGAGGGCGGGAGACCAAGAACCTGCTCCAGGAGCGGAACGAAGTACGGCCTCGGCCGCACAGCGCCTCTACAACCAGCAAGTACGGCACCAGTACCCCCAGTGGCAGCACCAGAACCAGCAGAACCTCCAGCTCCAACAGCGCCAACTCCAGTACCCTCAGAAGCACCAGCGCCAGCAGCACCGCCAGCGCCAACACCCCCAGCAGCTCCAGCTCCAGGAGCACCAACTCCGGTAGGACCGTCAGCACCAGTAGAAACACCAGCGCCAACACCCCCAGCAGCTCCAGCGCCAGCTGCACCAACTCCAGTAGGACCGTCAGCACCAGCTGCCTCAGCAGCACCCCCAGACGCACCAGCACCAGTAGAAACACCAGCGCCAACACCCCCAGCAGCTCCAGCTCCAGCAGCACCAACTCCAGTAGGACCGTCAGCACCAGCTGCCTCAGCAGCACCCCCAGACGCACCAGCACCAGTAGAAACACCAGCGCCGACACCCCCAGACTCAGCAGCACGTCTCCAGCGGCGGGCGAACCACACGCGCAGCTCCTGTGGAGAGAGCGGCTCCCGCCTCGACGAAGTACCGCCGGCGGCCACACGAGCAGACCCAGCATCCCCAGGCTCCGCACCCCAAGACTCAGCACCCCCAAACTCAACACCTCCAGTCTCAGCACCCCCAGACCCGGCACCCGCAGACGCGGCACCCGCAGGCTCAGCACCTCTAGCAGCACCAGCGTCTACAGCTACCTCGACAGGCTCGACTGCGTCTACCTGGGACACACCTGAAGGGGCAGGACCCTGAGGAGGGAGGGGGTCTACCTGAGTAGCACTTGGCGCAAGGAAGAGCGGCGGCGGGGGGAGGGGCGCAGTGCGGTAGGGGAAGAGACGGTAGTAAGGCACCGACTCGTCAAAGGTGACGTCCTGGGAGGACAGAACACGGCGCGTGGTGGGGTGGTAAAACTGCCAGCCAGGCGCGTCAGGGGGGAAGCCAAGGAAGACGCAAGGAACAGCACGAGGGGACAGCTTGTCCGCAGACAAGTCGCGAACAAACGCCCGAGATCCCCAGACCCGAAACGCAGACGCATCGCCAACCTTCCCTATCCACCGCAAGGCGGGGGAGGTCTCTGGCAAGGAGACCCGGGGCTGAAGGTTGAGCTGATGCGCGGCGTACTGAACCGCAAATGGCCACAGAAAATGGGGGGCAGCCGCATGCATCATGGACGTACGCGCGACGTCCATGACCATGCCAATGCGGCGCTCAGCAATCCCATTTTGCTGTGGAGAGGCCGGAAGCGTGAAGGTCTGGCGGATGCCCTGTGCCCGACAGAAGGCTCCCAGACGGGCAGAGGAAAACTCCCCTCCTGTGTCTGAGTGCAGACGCAAAACAGGAAAGTCCGAGCCGGAACTCTCTCTGAGCTAGAGACGAGCTGCGCGGATCCAGTCGATCAACACCTTAGTGACGTCACCCTTGCTGCGCAAGGGGAAGATTGTGGTGTAACGTGAGTAGTCGTCAACGACCAACAGAAAGTACCGCTCTCTCCCCTGCCCACTGACGCGGGTTGGGCCCCA